TATATATATATAGTCACGGGATGTGGAGTATAGTGTGGGAATGGAGTCAATGGAATTGTAATAGATATGTATGATATGGGGGAGAGTGGGGCGGCAGATGGGGAAGCTGTCACTTCGATGGGTAAAAAGTATAACTATTGCACTGTGTAGTACACCTGAAACTAATTTAAAATAAAATAAAGTAAAAAATAAATAAAATAAAAATAAAATTTAAAAAAAAAGTAGCATTTACCTGGTCCACTTACCTTGTCCCAAGGAGTAGTCAGAACACACATGAACAGAGTCGGATGGGCTGGACTGTCTGGACACCCAGCGTGAGAGAACAAGGACTTTCTCCTTATGAAAAGTTAACTTACAGAAAACAAGCTCCCAAGCCCTCTGCCTCTGTGCCTACTGGTTAGAAAAGGAACCTTGAACTTCTGAGTTGTATGTTCTATTCTAAGAAAGTCAACTAGACAATCCTAAATTTCTTGACATGCTTGGAAAAATTTCTTCCCCCAAAGTCAGGATAGCAAAACTCCTTTTTCATAAGACAGTGAAGGAGTCCCCCATATGGCATGGGTCATCCTTTGTCCTATTCCTACAATTCAAGAAGGAGGAAAGTAAAGTGATAATATTAACTGTAATGTGAACCCAGCTGTATAGCAGTTGTTATCACCGTAGTTTAAGATACCTCAAACATTGAAATATAACAGTACATCATAAATTCAAACCTCTCTATGTTGTGAAATGGGGGCTTTAAACAGTACATGTGATTCTGTAAAGAATGACTTTGAAACAATTTCTTTCCCTCAAGATATTTCTGGGCCTCAAAGTTAAGGCGGAGTCGATCTAAAACAATCTCATTTGGAACAGACTTAAAGAACTATTCACCATGTTTGTAATTCTGGATTTTGGAGAAATACCTAGCATCAAATACCTTTGATGCCTTTGTTTGTTATTCAATTCTATTGTTATATCCCCCATGAATTGTTTTAGCCCATATGAATATTTATATCTCCATATTAGTGGTGCTATAATTTAAAAGTAATGCATTTATTTTTATTGAGGAATGATTACATACATAAAACTCACAGCTCTTCAGTGTACGGCTTGGTGAATTTGTATCTATGTATACCCCCATCTAACCTCCTCCCAGAGAAATACACAATATTTCTGTCATCCCAGAGTGTTCCCTCATATCCCTTTCTAGACATAACCACTACTCTGACTGCTGGCAACACAGAAAAATAATTTCTTTTAAAATATTTTTAAAATAATTTCTTTAAAATTTCCCCCCACTAAATCTGGTTGGCCTATTTCTTTAGTGCATAAGACTAAGTCCAGGCCCTGGGCCCAGCACTGTGTAGACATGAGCCTTCCCCTGGAGAGGCGAATTAGGCAGATAATTAAACAAAATGGGTAATACCATACTTGCAGATGCAGAGGGTTTTGGGAACTCAAGGCAGGCTCTATCCCAAATTTGGGGGGTGCTTTGTTTTGGGCTTTTTTTGAAGAGACAAGGGAAGACTTCTTGGGAGGATGTAAATTTTTAAGTTGGGAACTGAAAAATGAGTAGAAGGTATTCAGCTAAAACATATAGTAGGAGGAAAAAAAAGGTATTACAGGTGGAAGGAACAGCATGAGTCATGGCTCAGAAATAAGAACATGAGGGTTTGAGGAATAAAATTAACTTGGGGTAATTGGAGTACAGGGCTGGGGAGAAGAGTAAAATACAGCTGGAGAGATAGTAGGGACCCAATCAGAAAGATTAAGGCCATAGGGCTTTGCTCTAAGATCAAGGAGAACCTGTGGACAGGCTTCAATGGTGGGTGTGGTGGGATGAGGTCTGATTTCTCAGCTGACTACTGTGTGGTAGGGAGACTGGCTAGGAGGCTGCCGTGGCATCCGGCTGAGAGGCTGAGGTGGCAATGGCAATGGGGAAAATGGATCGACTTGAGAGAGATTTAGAAGGTAAAATCAACACAACTTGGTATTTGACAGGCAAGGATTCAAGGATGACCCTTAGGTTTCTTAGATTTTACAAAATGGGTGGATGAAGGTACCATTGGAAATATGAGGGAAGAATCTAGTTTATATAATTTCCTTCTTTGATATATTCCTTCCCAAATACATTTAATTTCAGTTGCCAGTTAGGTTGTAACATTAAGGTAGAAATACCAACTAGGAAGTTGTAACAAATATTTATCGAGCACATTTCTATATGCCAGCCATGCTCTGATCACTTGAGATGCAACTTGTAAACAAGACAATGAACTGTGTGCCCTTGTGAAGTTCACATTTTATCAGGCTGGAGCTGCTGCCTGGGGGCTACCAGGTAGAAGTGGTGACTAAAGGCTTCAGAGTGAAGGAGGTTGCTCAGTAAGAGATCAGGGAAAGAGCAGAAGCCTAGGCTCAAACCCTGAGGAACATTAGGATATTAAAATGGCGAAAAGGAGAGATGACCCGGAAAGCAAGAGAAATGTGGTGTTTAGAAGTCTAGGGAGTAGTCCCCAGTGTCACATGCAGCTGAGAAGTTACGTAAGATGACAAGAAATGGTCTATTGCAATGCTTCTCACAGTGGGGTCCCCAGACCACCAGCAGCAGCAGTATCCCCAGGAATTGAGAAATGCAAATTCTTGGGTTCCACCCCGGACCTACCAAATCTGCAACTTGAAACAGAGTGGAACCAGCAGTCTTTTCACAGCCTTCCAGGTGATTCCGATACAAACTAAAGTTAGAGCGCCCCTTCTCTATTGCATGAATTGATAAGGAAATCAGTGGTGCATGGGAAATTTGGTGCAACTATAATAATTTTATTGGGGTTACATCTTGTTTGGGCAAACTTAAAAAAATTTTAATAGGTTACAGTTTTATGTTTTTATTTAGGAGTTTCAAATGTTTTCTTTTCTTCTGCGTGTTTGTGCTTTTTTCCTTTCTCTTATATACTGTTTAATAATAGATTAAAAAATTTTTTTAAATAATAAATTCATATTTTGTTTCACGCTGTTCTGTATGATTTTTGAAGTTTTGTTTTTCTCTACTTTGAAACACATCTTTTTTGGGGGGGTCTCAATATGTTAGGCCACCTGCATCATTGATAATTGGTTCACTGCCCTCAACTCTGAAATTGAGGAATTAAAATACCCAAACAAAATGCAATCATGAAGCAAGTGGATCTCAACCCTGAATGGCAGCTTTAGAAAACACCTAGATGCTTAAATTAGCTCTTCCAGAAAGTTCCAAGACAGTGTTAGGGATATAATTCTAATTATTTGAACTTGTTACTTGTGAAGTAATTGGAAGTGTACCCTTCTCATCTAAAGTGACCCAACAATATAACCATAATTATTGTACTTCTAATGTACTTGTGAAGCAGAGGACTCCTTTTTTTTTCTTTTTTTTTTAAATTGGGGAATTGGGGGAAGAGGAACAGACAAGTTGCTGTCCTTTTGTTCTTCAGTCTAGTTGTGGATGACATTGCT